CTGGCTCGTTTAACTTGGATTGGGCGGTGTAAATTTTTGCAGCAAGTAAATAATATGCTCTTAGATTCCTTGCAATTGTATATTACAATTTTGATACTCCACTTCACATGGGGCACACCTTGCTAGGTGTGTCAGGGCCTTTTGTGAAATACAGCTCCCCTAAAAGCGCGTGAGGTAAGAAGGTAAGACAATTTTTTTTTTTAAATGGGACATGTGTCTCATTTCTATTGGGTAATAAAATTCATATATCATATTATATAAATTAAATTATCATTCATATTTTGTATCAAACAATAAAAATAAAAATACCAAAATTCAAAATTTTTTATTCTCTACAAATAGAGACCACATTTGATATTTTTTGGAACACAATTAATTTATCATTTTTTACAATTAATTTATCTTATTGGAAGATTATGACATAAATCTATAATTAGATGAATATGTTACATAGTAAGATGAACATGTCATAGAATAAGATGAAAATGTTACATTTTCATAGAAATTTAGATGAACATGTTCTAAAATAAGATGAACGTGTTACATAATAAAATGAACATGTTATAGAATAAGATGAACATGTTACATACACAATAAGGTTAACATGTTACATAATAAAATGAACTTGTTATAGAATAAGATGAACATGTTACATAATAAAATGAACATGTTATAGAATAAGATGAACATGTTACATACACAATAAGGTGAACATGGTACGTAATAAAATGAACATGTTATAGAATAAGATGAACATGTTACATAATATAAATGAACATGTTATAGAATAAGATGAACATGTTACATATTAAAATGAACATGTTATATTATGTATTATTTCAATCTGCAATCTGTAACATGTTCATCATATTTGAAAACATATTCATTTTATTGTGTAACATGTTCATTATATGTCAGTATAATAAAATAATTACAAAAAAACGAAAAATTAGTTGTGTTCAAAAACCTATCAAATGTGGTCTCTATTTATAGATAATGAATTATGAATTTTGGTATTTTTATTTTATTTTTTTAATATAAATAATTAATGATATTTTAATTTATGTAATATGTCTCATTTTTCAATTAAAAAAGAAAATTGGGGATGTGAACTACACTCTCTTAGTTTCTCTAGTTTTGGGGAGTTTTGGGGAGTAAGGGGCGCGTGTAAATGTGCCCTGGCACACCTAGCTAGGTGTTCCAGGGTACACGTTAGTGATACTGAAATAATATGCTCTTAGATTCCTTGCAATTGTATATTACAATTTTGATACTCCACTTCACATGGAAGAATGAGTTGTAACGTATTATTATGATTTTAAAATATAATTATTAACAATAATAGATATGAAATAAAAAAGGAAATGCTCCATTGATCTAATTAAACTAATCTGCTCTCTAATAGAATTTAGGAAAAGCCGCCGAAATAATGTGGAGCATAGATGATTAGCCGGAATTTATTAAAGTGTTTTACCTGCCTGTTTATTTACAGACAATAATAGATATGAAATTAGCTGATAAACTAGTTTATTAAAGCTCGGCTCAGCATGACATGTTAACTAAATAAACTTTAAAACGAGCTCGAAGTCGACCCGTTTGAGTTAACGAGTGGTTCGTTTCTTTTAACAATACATCTGCTAGTAATGTATGCTATGTTTGGTAAAATTACATGATAAGCTAGATTATAGCTTATATGCAACTTTCGAGCTTATAGCTAATAGCTTATGATTTATAGCTGAAAAATTAGCTTAAATGATAAAAATGTTTAAAAAAATAGCTAATAAGCTAGCTGAAATAAAAATCTTCAACGAACTTATTTGAAAAGCTACCTAATGAAATTTATGAAATAAGCTCGAGTTTTTTAAAAAAAAAAAATTTGTCCTATCAAACTAAACTTATTTGAATTCAAGAAGGTTATAAACTAACCAATAAGCTATAAGCTACTTTATTTGGCTACCAAACATAGTATTAGAATTATGGTTGTTTATAAACCAAAACGAAAAAAAAAAAA